CTCATATAATCTGGTCTTTGTCGAGCAATATTTGCTATTGCACCCATTGCAGCTATCAGATTGACACTGGATAAATGTTGTGAAAGAGTAAATTCAAGTAATTTTTCCATAACATCTTTTCCTTCTTGTTCAAGTTTATTACGACGTAATATTCGATGATCATCTTGTAATAAATTAAGTGAAAAATCTTGTTCATTTGATGTAGGTATTATTGAATCCTAAAAAAAGATCATAAATATTTTATTAGATTCATTAATATTTAATACGAACTTGTGAACGTCTTGATAAAACAAGTGCAAGCATTTCAATAAATTTAATTGCTACTGTACGAAGTCTAGAATATTCAATTTTGAAAATTAAATTATTTTTTTTATAATCAACATACCCATCATTATCTGAATCTAACATTGCCATAATATGAATTTTCATGTTAACCATACTTTCCCACATACTACGTACATTTTCATCGACAAGTCGAGATTTTGAAAGCCACTAAACATACATGAATGAAATTTCAATAATATATAAAATCAATTCTTACCTTCAATGTCAATCTATAAATTGTAATCATACTAACAATCAATTTTTTTTGTACAAGTACATTATCATCATAAAGCAAAAGGCGAAGACTATCAATAACTTTAACAATAACTTCAGGATCATGTTGACATGCTTCTTCAATAAATGATATTATAGTTTTTCTAATTTCTGGACTTTTATCTATTTGAAAACCAAGTACTTCCTAAATATATAAGTTTACAAAAATGAAATTTTCTATCAAAATAATATCTACCTCAAGAAAATTATCAAGTAAACTTGGATCTTTCCGTAAAATAAGTTCTTGTACATGTCGAAGATGTTGAACTCTAACACTGTCTTTACCATAAAGTGATGCTTGATTAATTAATTCCACAATTTTCTCCTGTATATTTTCTGACATTTTTGCTTTTTTTTATATCTGAAACAAAGAATATATAAGTTAATAACTAGACATCTTATATGTTTTTTCACTAGATGATAGATCAGCTTATACGCTATCTTTGTCTTAATCTACATGGAATTTTGATTTAAGTAGTATATAATAAAGATGATCACTAAAGAGAAAAAACGCAAATAAGCATAAGTGATATTCAGATATGATCTTTACAATAATAGTCATTCTGTTGGTATCTATGGTATCCGGATGATATACAAATTGTTTTTTCGGTTCTAGCAATTCATTCACTATAACTAATTTAATTCAAAAATATACATTTAGATGAATGAAGAAAACATTTTAGGTTATAAAAATAATTAAACTCACATTCAGTTATTTGTCGTCCTTAAACATTTTCAATCGAAAGGATAGATAAACTTTGAAAATATCACAGTTTATAAAAATAGATCGATTGGGAAAAACGATGTTAGTCATAAAGTATGCAATCGTATTTTCCTATTTTACTTAATGGAGAAAAAAAACGTCAAACAAAGTACTATTTTCATACCTTGATGTAATTTATTTCTTTCAGTGGAAGCTAAGTTACACACCATTGTTTGAGACAATTTATATCCAATCACACATCATTCCTCTAATGTTCGTTAGTTTCATAAAAAACTTTTTACTAATTAAATTATTCATTGTTTATATAAACAAGAGATATTCATTTTCAATAATACGAAACTATTTATAACTAAAAAATTTTGTTTTAGAGGTCACCACATGTAAAGCTCTACAATGAATGGTTTGACATATTTTCGCTTTTTGGTAATTAAGTTGGGAACAATCCAACTATTTTCTTCAATGAAAAAAACTACTCGATTTTATAATAAAAAATTTGAGTATATTTTAGAATGGCAAGATCAGTTCTAACAATGAATAATAACATCATAATGCCATCGATCTCTTTTCATCAAAGAACATTCGGACAAAATATTCGATTAGATGATAATGGAGTAAGAGCCACTCGACATACTTCTTTTGATAATGGTTATTTTATATTTTTTTTGTTTAATTCCATTATTTTTTTTTTCTAATAATTTACAGGTGTTACATTTACAAATAAACAAATTAAGATGAATGAACGTATTCATATGAAAATTATTGATGTAGATGAAACAGGTCAATGGTTAGGATCATTAGCTATTGGTAAGAAATAAAAATTTATGAAATTTTACAAAAATTATTTCATTAGGATTTACCCAAATCGATCCAGATTCAATTCAAAGAAAAGATTTATGTAAATCATCATTACCAAATCTTTGTTTTAAGGATGGAATATCTTATATTAAACGTATTTCTGATAAATTAACAAGACAAATCATTATTACCTTTTATTATAATCAAGAGTAAAATTATTTATTTAGTAAATAATCATATATTTATTTTTATTTAGTGGAGCATTTTATATCTTGGATGGCAAAGAACAGGAACTTAGTAAAAATATTGATTTAAAAAGACCGTTATGGGGTATTATTGACATCTATGGCAACGTTAAAGGTATTTATCTAATAATGCACATCTGATTTGTTCCAAGTATCTAAAAAGAAGGGTATGGATGTGAGCAACAGACTAATATATCATTCACACCCTTCAGAAAAAATCGTGACCATAAATTTTGAATTGAAATTTGCTAGTTGACATATCCTCTATAGCACCTGTGAATGGGTTTCCATGCCGATAAATACATTTTCATTCGAAAATAAGGGAAAATTAATAGAAGATCGTTAATAAAAGAATTGTTTTATATAAATATCAATAAATTTTAATTACTATTATTATTATTTAGGTGTTGTATTTACTACACCAATGAAAGCACCAGATAATAGTAAATCGTTTTTTAATAAATACGATCAAAAACCAGATCTACTACCAATTTGTCACTATAAACATTTAAAATTTGGTGATCTTCAATCGATTACTTTTCATCATATACATGGACTTGAACTGGAATTATTTTGTCAAAATAAAGTTGCCTTTCGCAAAAGTATATATAAAAAAACTTACAATATGAAAATTTTTAAAATATTTATATATGTAATATTTATCAGATGTTCCAGAACTAGCACGGCCCTATGTATTTATTGATTTACCAATGGCAATCGATGATGAATATTATCTACGTATTTTATCTATTGATCCAAATTATCGAACTCCGTAAATAATAATTTTAAATTTTTGTTATTCTATAATATTTTTATTTTTCAAGTGGTGTCATTGGTTTCACCAATGTTAATCCATCAATTTTTAATGAAAAATTTGAATCCTTACCATCTGTTGATCCAATGGGTTTATATGATCGTAAAGAATATTGGATTATAGTTGAAGATGCATTCGATGAAAAACTAAGTGAACTTGATGAATATCGTTTTATTCGTCAAAAAGATGGTGATATTCAAATATGTCGTAATAATGATTCAAATACTATAAAAACTATTGCATGTACTGATCCACAACAAACATTTTATCCATTCTTTTTTCTTAATGGTCGTATTGCAGCATTTTCTTTAATTGGTCTTATTTCTTCAACAAACAATGCAATAAATAATAATAAGAAAACGAAAGAAAAAGATGAAAATGCTGGTTTATGCCAAATTTGTTTGGATACACCCGCTAGTTGTGTATTAATTCCATGTGGACATATTGTTTTTTGTTCTGATTGTAAAGATTCATTTGAGAAAAAATTTTCTGAAAAACGTTGTCCAATATGTCGTGATAATTACAATAATGTTTTTCAAATCGAAGATGATTAACCGAGTGTTTTTGTGTTGATTTATTTTTTTATATAGATAAAGAGAAAAGAAATAAAATCTGTGATGATTCTTATTTTTATTTAAATAAAATTAAACAATGAAATATTTTCAGGTAAAAAAAATGTCTTTAACAGATTGGTCGCTTATTTGTTTACTTTCGTCATCTATTGAACAATGTAAATCAATTGAATTTATGCCATTAACATCAACTGGTGAATATCAAGTTCATTGTCATTGTGAAGAAAAGATTTATTTATGTTTAAATGTATTCGAAATAAAATCTATTGTGAATTTATGTTATTCATTCATTTTTTCAAAAGATTTTCAAAATAATTCACAATTAAATATTTCAACACGTGTATTACTTTGTTATATAACGGAATGTTTAACAAGTTGGAATATACGTCGACGTTTAATTGTATCCAGTACAATACGTATCCAAGATGAACTGGAATTTGTAGAAATTCTTTTACGTTTGAAACCTAAAAGTGAACAATTATTTCGATATAGACGTTGGTTATTAAAACAAGAAAATTTAAATAATATTTCAATTAATAAAGAATTAGATATATGTGATCATACAGCTGTGAAACATTTTATTAATTATGCATCATGGTTACATCGACGATGGATTATTAAATATTTAAATATTGATATTGATGAAGAATTAAAACGAAATTATTTATGGTTAGAAAAGAATATTTCAGATTCAAGTGGATTTTCATTTCGTGCTTATCTAATTTCGAAAAAAAATTTAAATGAAAATTTAATTGAACAAGAATTACAACTGATTGACAATATGTTTAAATTTTATCTTGATAGAGAATCATTATGGATTTATAGACAGACATTAATATTTTTAGCATTAAAATGTATATCAATTGATACAAAACAATTATTAATTAAAGAATTAAATTTAATGAAAACTTTACAAGAAAATACTTTTTCGAAAAAATATTCTCAATTATTAAATAAACTTTTATTGACTGATGGAAAACAGTTTCGAGATTAAATTAATAAACCTATTATTTTCAACGCTTAAAAATATGTTGTAACTATAGAATGAGGGATGGACCATGTCCTACAACCGAGAGAAACTGTTCCATTTCAAGAAGAAATCCTGTACGCTCACAAAGTCAACGGGAAATCCTTTTTTGATCGAAATGCAAACGTTCATCTATATCTCGACTCATATAGAGAAATAAATCATTTTATTTTTTTACTTCAAGAATATATATTAGAAGATAAGGTTTTTTCCCAGTAAAAATGAATGAATAATAATGTGAAATGATTCATCCATATCTCCAATAGTCCACTGTTGTCTAATATTCATTATTTTTATAATTAATCAAAAAAAACTATTTCATATACTATGCGATTCATAACAGCATCATTCTCTAACATATATTTGACTAATTATACAAAAGATAACAATAAAGAGAAAAAAAAGTATCTGACAAAATTATATCTGTGGAGTATTATTTTGATTAGTGGTTGCACCAGTAAGTAATTTTCGACTTTCATGAAAATATTGATTTGGATGATTAATACCAACACCATAATTTTTAACTTTATGTTGATATTCAAAATAAATCTGACAAGCTATTTGATAATGATGTTGTTTTGTTTTATCAAGAATATCATTAATTGTTTCTTCATTTATATCATAATCTTTTGCTAAACGATGTTTAAGTGTAGCACTATCCCAATGTTTATATGGACATCCATGATGTTCATTAACACCTGGTGGTGGATCTTGAATAATTTTCATACAACTATATGGTGTATATGATGTATGTTTTCCTTCTTGTCCATATGCATGACGAATATTATAAACATGTTCACGTTCAAATTGTGCTGGATTCATAGAACCATTTGTAACAAATTCATGACGAAAAAATTTCATACATTCATCTAATGATAAACCAATACCTTTAAGAAAAAGTCGATATTGTAATCGACCTAAATGTTTTAAATGATGTTGTTGAATCATTTGTTCATGTAAATAACGCATACATAATGGAAATGAACGTTTCGATAAACCATTTAACATTTCAAATGTTATTGTTTCTGTTTGTTCAGTTTCATTAAATGCTGTCATTGTTGTATGTGTACCATGTATACGTTTTTTTCTTAACATTTTTAATATTAATTCAATACGTGTATCGATTTGTTGCATTGATTCATATTTTTTCGATGAACATGTCATTTGATATGATATATTCATACGAAAATGTTGTAAAACAAATGATATTATATCATTATCAGATACATATGCATAACCATGAGCAAGAAAACATGAACGTTTACGTACTAAATCAGGTACATGTTGAAATCGAACACGAAAATATGTTATTGTTTCAAATGATTTAGCAATTGTTGTTGTATTTACTAAACCTTTGATTATCATTGATGATATTAATGAATCTTTATAATGTTTTTTTTCTTCATCAGTAACAAGTTCATAGAATTGTTTGATATTACTTGATGAATCATTTAAATAATTTAATTGTTCAGATTTTGTTAATACTTGAAAACGATAACGAAATAATTCAAGTTCATAAGTTATAAACCAACGACGTTCTTCTTCAGTTGGACAAAATGCTAAACGAAGAATATAATGTGATATAATATCATTTTGAAGATCAGCTGATGATGCACCAGTAAATGATGGAAATATCATAAACTATTTAAAAAATATATAAAATTATATTATCATCGAAATTTTTTTAATCTTTACTTTTAAATAATTTAATTTATCTTTTAATTCTTTTCTTAATAATTTTTCAATTTCATCTTTTTTATTTGTTGGTGCTGTTGATAATGTTGTATTTAATCGTGTAAGAACTTGTTCAATTGTTTTTAAAATTTTAAGTCTTTCAATAGATAATGATTGAAAGAGTTCAAGAGATATTGTTAAATTTTCTGGATATGTATCATAATAAGGTATATAGGAACTATTGAATGAATTTATTGATAATGATGTTAAATTTGAAGAATTTATAATTGGTTTTTTTAATGATGGTGATGATGTAGGTAATGAAAATCTTGTTGTTCGATATTCCATTATAGAAAAAGAAAAACAATATCTACAAAAAAAGTAGAAGTTCTGAATTAATCAATTTGTTTTATTTCTATTAGAAAATATATAAAAATACAAATAAAATCAAAATTGAATTTATTTCCATGGTATGTTTATATCCGTATGATATATCATAATCATAATGATCATAATATTCAGCATCAAAAGTACTTGTTGTAGTTCTATTAGGTCTAACCGTTGAATTTGCGATTCCAGATGTAGAAAGTTCTGTTTCAGATGTAGAGAGTTCTATTCCATATGTGATATTCAATAAAATAAGGATACCAAACAGTATAAGCAAACTTTTCGACATAATATTGTATGTTATATGACTTTCCTTTCTGTACGTCATATTTTACCTTAAGAATATATAGACGATCGCTGAAGCGTAACAATATGTGTAAGGAAAGAACGAACTTAAGCAACGTCTATGAGTATATTTCAGGGTGTAGTCTTATTCTCGTCATTAAATATTAATATTGGTTGATCTGTAATATTTCATAATCTCTTTGCTAATTAATCAAGGTTAATTCTATATGTAAGGATAATTAAAGCATGTCTTGAATAAAACAAACAAAAAATAAGAAAAAAAAAACGTTATATTTATTATCGAAATTTAAATCATGTTAGTCAAATAATTTCTTTTTTCTGTTATATCTTTAGATCGAAGAAAGAAATCTTATGAACGAACATGAAATATGTCATGAATAGCACACAATGCAAAAAAAAATTCACTTCGAATAAGGACGGAAGATTCTGTCGACAAAGATGAAAAAAACATTTAAGATTAATTTGTTCTATTTGTTTACATACGCATAGAAATTGAATAGGGACGGATAAAGGCAGCAAAAGAAATTGGATCAATGTATGTATATCAACTAACGATTGATATACACATATGAAAAAATAAATATCTGTATACATAAGGAAAATAATTTAACTTGTTGTTGTATCTTGTTGTTTTTGTTGTGGTAGAACTTTAATAACACGTCCACTACCTTTTGTTTGATTACTGGATCGAAAGATTAATCGAGATCCTTCTAATACATACTCACAACGATTTCGAAATCGAAATGTTACAGTAGCTTCTTTATCTGCATGTAATTCTTCCTTAAAAAATTAAACAATTCCATTAAAAATAAAAATAATAAAATGATGACATACTTTATCCATATCAATGATTAATGCTGTTTGACGAATATTTTCTATTTGAACAGTCGTTTCAAAACCTTTACGTATTGATGTATTAGTATGATGCATAGAAAGACAAATTTCCGCAACAAATTCAAAACATGCTTCGGGCTTAGATGTTGATGAAACAAGTACCATACCCTAGATGATTTAGTTCTTTTTTGAAAAATAAATAATTTAATTTGATTGATTATTTACCTTTCTCAATTGACTACCTTCGACATGTGGAAGACAAAGTGTTGCTGCTTGACCAGCACGAACCATTCGTCTTGGAACACGATATCGATGAATTGTACTTACTTTAGCTGGTAAAAATGTACCATCTAATAGAGGACCAACAAGAAGACTTTCATTTTCACGTATTATACCACTAAAAATAAAAACGAAACGATTAAAACACATGATTTCAAATAATCATCATACCTTCGTAATATACCACCAACAATTGCTGTACCTGATGAATTGTTTATGTAGATTGCATCAATCTATTTAATTAAATATAACAAAATTTAATAATCAGAATAAGAAAAAACAAACTTCTTCTTACTCGATATTCAACAGGTGATTGTGACAGTCTTTCTTGTTCTTTACTACTTAATCTTGGTGGTAAAATATTAAGAAATTTTTTTAATAAATCAATATTTTCACCAGTAACACAAGAAACAGAAAATATTGGACATATACGTCTTTCAACCAACATATCAGCTGCTTTAACAAGATCATCATCTTTTTCAATAACACATGGTTGAAGTTGTATTGAACTATTTCCATGTCTAAGTAAATACGTTAAACATCCAATTGTTTGTTGAATACTTGTTTTTGAACATAAATCAATTTTATTAATCACAACAAAAACAGGTACATCTAATGTAGTAGCATATGAGAAATGTTCATGTGTTGTATCAACTAAAATAACGCAAAAAAAAGTAAACAAAATCTTAAATTAATTAATCTTAAAAAACATACCAACACTTGATGGTGCATCAACAATTAACATTGCAAAATCAGCAGCATGTGATGAAAGACCAAATATTGTTGTTTTCATATATTTTGTATGGCCAGCTAAGTCAGTAAAAGTAATTACTAGAAATTAAATAAATTAATAAATTTATTCCAGTAAATAATCTATTAACTTTTTGTTGATTGATCACATATTTCATTTGCTGTTCGACAACGACCATAATCAATACTCTTTTAAATACAAAAAAACATATAAATGATAGATCTATTTCAATATCATACTTTTCCTAAATCATCAAAGCCAAGTATTTCATGTGTTATTGAAGATGTTCTTCCTGTTTGAATTTCGTGTAAATATCGAAATAAATTTAATCGTGCACGTCCACGTCCATTATCAAGTTCACCATGTGTACAAACACCAACAAGTGAACTTTTACCACTATCAACTGTGCCCAATACAGCAACACGTAAATCAATAAAATGTTGATCATCAGGGACTTTACGCACAAGTACTTCAACAATATGTCTTTCATTTTCTAATTTACGTTGAAATAATATCGTTATTGATGCACCTAATCTATCAGCCATTTTTTTTAATGTTCCTAATGATGCTTGCAATTCTTCATTACTAACACCACTTAATGTTCCACAATCTTCAACACCTATTTCATATAAAGCTTCACCTTGTCCTTCTTGTAAACGCCAATTCATTTGAGTTATTAAATGTTCAAGACGATATGGATTTGGATCGACTAATTTTAATTTATATTCTATATTACCTTCTTCAGGCTATGAAAAACAGAAAAAAATTATATAGACAAAAACTATTTAAGATTTATTAAAACTTAATCTAACCTCTGGTGGTAAACCAGTTAGAACGAAAGGTGAACGTGGTATTTTTTCGTTCACATCATCATCGTCATCATCCATTGGACCAAAAAGACTTGCTACACGTTTATTGACCTACATAAAAGAAAAAAAATAATCAACACTTCATATATTATTATTATTCTTACAGTATTAGAATTATATTCTGATTTTTTATCTTTATTTGATATAGAATCTTGGTTAGACATCTGAAAAGAAAACATAGATCATAAAATGTTGATATTCTTCTAAAGTGGTTTATTTTGTGTAATAAAAGAAGTATATAGATTATATGTAACTGTCTATATTTATTTCTTATGTCTTGCTTTGAATTGCATCATCCTTGTTATTACGTTAACGTGACGAGTATATTTGTTTTCTTTCGATGCATTGCATTCATGTGTACGTGTTCGACGAAAAAGAAAAAACACATCACTGAACAGCTTTGTATATAATTCTTAAAATTTTCTTTTCCGATCGAATGTAAAATACATCATTTAATAAGTTCTGATTTTCTTTTTGTAAAAATATTTTATTCGAAAAATAGATGAATCATTAATAGACTGACTTCTATTACGTGATAGAATTATTGCAAATATAATGTAACAGATAACTTTTACAAATATTCTTCAAACTTATTTTGTGTTTTAACTCATTCGAGATTTTAATAAAGATTAACTTCATATGATAGATTTTCAAGTATAACAAAAAGAAACAATTTTTTTTTGTAATTAATTTGATGCCATAACTATTATGGATTTGTATTATTCGTGATCTACTATATTTCATGTATCTAGAAGAAAGAGGAAAATTTTATTTGAATATGATTCTTCGATTAGAATTTCGTACTTTTCAAGAATTGATTGATTAAAATTAACATCGCAATAGTTATATTATATTAATTGAATTTTTATGTAAAATAAATGAATAAATATTTGAATTTAAAATCGACATCTTCACTTTTCAGTCAAACAAAAAACAGAACTGATGAAAAAAAAAGAAAGAAAAAGACGCTTATTTGATTAGTCGACAAAAATATTGGTGACAATTAGCTGGCGACATACCTTTGTCGGAGGTGTCGCTAGATTAAGGTTGATATATGATATTTATCTAGTTGATGCTGATCTATGTAAATCATCTTATATTTAGATATGATTATTGTTGAAAAGTAAAATTTATTATATTGATCTAAGTCACATAAGCTTTTGAATGTTTTAATCAAATCTCTAACATCCAAAAGTTAGAAGAATTGATATTTATTTCGTTTATTTCTCAGACTTACAGTTTTTTTTATCTTCAAAATAAATAATATTAGATGCTATTGAAAAATACATTTCGTTTCTAGTTACAACTAATCTATTCATATTTTTTTTATTTTTAGTAATTGTTTTCAAAACTCAAGGCAAAACAGTAATACAGAGGCATATTAGCTATATCACAAGTGACACTTGCTGCTTGTTCAATGATTTATACACGACAAAAACGTACAGGTGAATTATACGAACAGAACATTATTACAGTATTACGCGAGAGCAATATGTGTGTTATTCAGTTGCAATTGTATAATGTATTCGATTATTCAGTTTTGCTTCTGCTATGAATTCGTATGATTGAAGGTCTTTACTTCGCTCAATTACCTGTCTTACATACATGCCAAATATTTGCTCCATATACGATAATCTCATCGAGTTATGAGTTCCTACCATGAAAACATTTATTTTGAAGACCACGAATAGTCATAATAACAAATGAATCGTAATGACAAGTTATTTTATTCTATTTCCGAGCATCATATATGAAT